CCGCCTCCTGCTCGGCCGCGCCTCCCTCCTCAGTCTCCCCCCTCCCCTCCTCTAACCCGGCCTTCTGCGTCTCCCCCTCCCCCTCCCCCTCTCGTGCTCGCAGGTGGCACAACCACCTGTGTCCCACGGTCGAGAAGCATGCCTGGACCCTGGAGGACGATGCCAAGCTGCACAAGCTCCACGCCACATATGGCAACCGCTGGGCCACCATCGCCAAGCACTTCCCCGGCCGCACGGACAACGCCGTCAAGAACCGGTGGAACTCCAGCATGCGCCGGCAGCGCCCGCGTCTGGGCCTGGCCGCGCGCACCGGCGACACCGGCGGCGCCGACGACACCCCGACCAGCGCGGCCAGCACCCCGGGCCCCTCGGACTCGGCATCCGAGCCGACGACCGGCACCTCCAGCCCGGCGGCCACCACCCCGGCGGCCACCGCCGCTGTCACCACCGCCACAGGCAGCACGGGCCCCACCAAGGGCCGGCGCCGGGCCACGGCCCGGACCCGCGTCTCCAGCATCACCCCGCCCCAGGGTGATGCCGAGCATGCGGCCGAGCATGCCCGGCCGGCGGCCCCCTCGCGGCGCCAGCAGGCCACGTCGGCCTCGGCGGCCGCGGCCGCCGCCGCGGCCGCAGCCTCCCCCGGCGATGAGGGCTCCGACGATCGCAATGGCTCCGACGACGGCGATGATGATGATGACGATGGCGACGATGGTGACATGGCTCTCGGTCCCAGTGGACGGGCCAGCCACCTGGCGCAGGAGGCCCCGGCTTCGCCGACCCGCCGGCGTGCATCCGCCCCTTCGGATGCCGGGGACCTCGATGGCCCTCACGGGGGGGGGGCCTCCTACATCGCCGAGGCCCCGTCGACTCCGCAGTCGGCCAAGCGCACGCGTCGCGGCCCCGGGGCCCCGGCCACCAATCTGGGCGACGTGTCCCCCCGGTCGCCCTCGACTCCCCGGACCCCGGGCGCGGCCCAATTGTGGGACGCCACCGAGGACTTCTTCACCGAGCACAAGGACATCCTCACGCCGTCCAAGCGCTCGCGCGTGCTCTTCCCGGTGGCGGACAAGCATGCCGGTGGCCGTCCTGGCGGCGGGCCGGCCGACCCGGCGGCTGCCGAGCCGCTTGCCCCCCCGGAGCAGCCGGCCGCCGGCTCGATGCAGCGGGCGCGGTCCCGGACCGGCGGCCGTGCCACCGTGGGCATGGGCTCCGCGTCGGCCGAGCAGCAGGGCGAGTCCCTTGTCGGTGGCCAGCCAGCCGGGCCGACCGCCAGCCGGGCCGGCGGTGCCGGCAGCGCCGGCCTGTCCAGCTTCGACCAGCGCACACATCGCCTTCTCCAGCCATCGCGCTCGGGCAGTGGGGTGACATCCTCCACCGGTGACCCGGCCGGCGATGACCCCTTCGGGCATCTTGCCGCGGCGGCGGTCGTCACGCGTGGCCCCCCCCCGGTGGATGGTGGCGTTGCCCCGGCCACGGTGTATCCCGGGCCGTCGGCTGCGCATGCGGCGGCGGCCGCGGCGGCGGCCACCGCCCGCGCGGCCACCGCTTCCGCCTCCACCTGGGGGAATGAGCCCACCGCCGGCGGTGGCGGCCCTGCTGGCAGCCAGGACCCCGGCTTCCAGGCTGGCGCCCACCATGGGCGACATGGCGGGGCAGCGGCCGCCGACGCGCCGGCGGCCACGGCGCGCTCGCCGCCCGTCGGCCTGGCCGGCGGCTCGCCGCTGACCCTCTCCTCGGCCCTGCTGAGTCCGCTGCAGCATCTGCACAATCCCCCGCACCATCCCTCGCACCCGGCCCAGTGCAACCTCTCGCTGCTGGGCATGGACCAGCGGTCGCTCGTCAGCGGGGGGCACTTCCTCTCGGGACGCATGTTTGCCACCTCCTATCTGGACCATGACTTCCTTTCGCCGGCGTCCCTGTCGTCGCTGTACGATTCGGAGACCATCAGCCGGTCCGGCGAGGAGAATGCCCTTTTGGGTGGCACCGGCGGGGCCGACGGGCCCCGGCGCCCTGCCGGCGCCCGCATGCCGGCCCCCAATGCCGTGGCCTTCCTGCCAGATGCGGCCGGCCCCGGGGGCGGGTCCTCGGGCGGTGTGTCCTCGGCCGCGGGTGGCGTCGGGGCCTCGACCAATGCCTCCTCGGCTCTTGGCCTGGGCCAGCCGCACCCGCTGCTTGGGACCCCGCTGCCCACCAAGCTCGAGCAGCAGCACCTGCATGCTGGCAGCCTGACCCCCAGTGTGCCGATCTCCTCGACCGGGGCCAACCTGACGCCCCTGCTGACGCATACGCCGAATGCCGCGGGGCATTTGCACCTCGGGCCCATGGCCTCGCCTACTCTGTCCATCAGCTCCCCGCTGCCGGGCGGCGGGCTCGGGGCCCCGCTGGCCGCCTCCGGCACCGGGGGCATCCTTGGCGCCGGCGCCGGCATCCACACCCTGGACTTCTACCGCAGTGCCTTGACTTCCTCGCCGATGTTCCTCGCTCGGACCCCGCTGCTCATGGGCCCGAGCGTCGCCTCGCCCGCCGCCGTGGCCGATGGCGGTCTGGATGGCCGGCGTGGGTCCGGGGCTTCGGCCAGTGCGGCGGCGGCGGCGGCGGCGGCGGCAGCAGCTGCCGTGGCCGCGGCCGCGTCTTTGGCCGCCGCGGCTGCTTCCAGTTCCTCCGGCGCCCGGGCACAGGACTCGATGTCCGATGGGTTGCCGATGCCGCCGCTGACGCCGGTGCCATCGGTGGCCAAGGGGGGCCATGCGCTGCCGGCTGGTGGGACTGATGCCACCAGCAGCATGATGATGAACACCCCGGGCGATGGAAACATCGTGTCGCCGGGCGTGGCCGGTGCTGCTGGCCTGGACTTTTTCGACTTCGCCGGGACAATGGCCTCGTCCGAGGCCGGGGCCAGCACCCCGAAGCCGGCCATCGCCGCCGGGGAGGAGCCCATCTCGGCGCCCGAGGACCAGGCTGTCACGCCGAAGGCCGGTGTACCGCTCTCCTCGAGCTCCTCCGGGTCTGCTTCGCTGTCCTCGGGGCCGGGATCCCTGGAGGACCTGGCGCTCACCCCTCGGTCGTCTTCTTCCGGCCAGCCGACGCGGGTGGACCTGTCCCCCTCCTCGCCGGGGGCTGGCCAGCAGCAGCAGCAGCAGCAGCAGCAGCAGCAGCAGCAGCACCGTTCGGACAGCGGCGTCGGGTCACTGTCGTCCACCATGACCCAGCTGCATGGGTCCTTCCTGTCGCGCCCGAGCCGGGGCTCTTCGGCCACGGCCGGCGCCGACGCGACGACCCCCAGGGCCGGCGCCGCCACCACCATCCTCGAGGCCACCAGTCTGCTGATGGCCGGTGAGGCTGTCAACGAGGCGGACGTCAGTGCCAGCATCCGGCTGCTGCTGGGCACCGGGGAGCCGGTGTCTCGGCCGCATGCGGGCTCGTTGGCCGCGGCCGACCGCACCTCGGCCAATGCCGATACCGATGCCGACACCCCCGGTGTCGATGGCGATGGCGCCGGCGACACCGGCCATCTTGGCGAGTTGGGCTTTTCCACGCCGACGGCCGGCCGGCCGGATCGTCAGGCGGCCGCCGCCCTGGCCGGGGCGACCCCCGGGTCGCCGGGTCCCGGCCCTTCGCATTGGCCTGGGCTGATGGTGTCGCCCGGGCCGGCCGGTGCCTCGGCGGCCGCCACCGCGGCGGGCGACTCCTTTTCGGCCCTGCATCTGCTGGGCTACCACCCGGGCGGCCTGTCTTTCTCAAGCTCCCCGCTGGCCGGCGAGCCACCGGGGCTGGTCCTGTCGCCGGGCGGCGGCGGACGTCCGGGGACCGGGCTCGGCCGGGGTGCCGGCATTTTCGATCACCACCGGGATTTCGCCAGCGGAAGTGGCCTGCCAGCCGCCGGGATTGCCGGCACCGGGCCCGGCATGAACGGCGGCGGGGAGGGGTCCTCCGACAAGCTGGAGCTTCCCCAATCGTCGCCCTTCCCCGCGCTCGGGGGCGGGCTGGACTTCTTCCGGCACCAGGCCACCCCGGACCCGGCGGCCTTCTCCGGCGGGGACCCATCCGTCGCCACGGGCCCCGCCGCCAGCCGGTCCCCGGCTCGGGGTGGGCTCTTTGCGCCGACCGGCGCCGAGCAGCCCCTGGCCAGCCTGGTGTCGCCGATTTCCCGCGGCGGTCCCCGTCCGCTGCTGTTGGCCACGGGTGCCGCCGGTGCCGGGGTCGAGGTGTCTCCGCCCGAGTCGCGGTCTCTCGACCTGTTGGCGGCCACCAGCGACGTCGATGATGAGGACGGGGCCAGCGGCATCGGGAGCAGCGGCCCCTCGGCCACCGCCATCACGACCCCCTGTCAGCAGCAGGTCCGCCGGCGACCGCCGAGTGCCAGTGCCAAGCTCCTGGCCCTGGCCGGGGACCCGAGCATGGCCGCGGCCGAGGAATCTGCCGCCGGCGAATTGCCCTACTTCGATCAATTGTACCTGACCCCGGGAGCCGCCGCCAGCAATGGCGGCGGTGCCTCTCTGGCCGCCCCCCCCTCGGCAGCGCAGTTGTTGTTGGTGGATTCGTTGGCTGGCGATGGCATCCCCCCCCCCGCGGCCGGGTCATCCTCTCGCCTGGCGGCACGCGCCGGTCGGCGGCCGTCCACCGCCACCACCTCGCGCGCGATGCCGGCCGAGCACGCGCCCCCCGGCACCGAGCAGCCGGCCGGCACCACCAGCATGGCCGACCTCGCCGATGTCAAGGACCTCTTCGATGAGGGGGACCTCTCCGCCCAGGCGGCCTTTCTAGATGGTGATGGTGGCTTCGGCCCCGGCGGCAGTCGGCCGTCCACCGGCGGCGAGGCCGCTAGAGCCCTTTCCGGGCCGGCCTGAGGCCACATCCGCCTTCCTTCCTTCCTTCCTTCCGCGCCCCCTCCTCTCCCCTTTTCTCCCTTCCTTTTTCTACTGTGCTCACCCATGTGTATCGTGTTTGTGAATATACGTGCATATATGTGCGGCGTGCCGATCGACTGCACATCATCTACCCTGACGTGTATTGTGCGACTCTCCCGTCACGCGGGGGGGGGGG